CAGTGGGAATCCAGCCAGGGGTAACACCATCCGGCTTCCAGCTTCCGTTTTAAGACGGCGCTCTCTGGCTGCTGGTTGGAGACTGGGTGAGATCAGGGTAGGTGGGACCCAGGGAGACCAGGCGAGAGGCCGTGGTGGAGCCCCACTGCTGTCTGTGTTGGCGTGAGAACAGGAGATGGGGATTATGCGAATGTATTTCAGAGCTAGGAACGATAGAGCTTGTTCGAATGTGGAAGATGTTTTTGTTTTTAAGTGGCTGATCTTTGGCTTATTTGCCCCATTAAACTGTAATCTCTGTGAGGGCAGGGATCCTATCGGTCTTGTTCATTATTGGTTCTCCAGAACACAGTCCAGTCATTTAATAAAGATTTAAAGCATGGTGAGTGATTGAATTAATGAATGAGAGGGCAGACTTAACAATGACACCCCAGTTTCTGGCTCAGCCTTGGGAAGAAGGATGAGGGTAGCACGCAGAGAGGGGAGGGCCAGAGGCAGAGGGTGAAATCAAAGCCCAGGGTCAGGGAAGCGGTGGAGGTGCCAGCAAGGGGCCGAGCAGGCAATGTGAGTGGGTGTGGAGAGCAGGAGCGGGAGGGGATGGTTATTTGGGTACTACTGTACCCCCAGCATAGAGAGCAGGATCTGGAATAGAGGCTCAATGTGTGTTTGCTGAATGATGAATGGATGGATGGATGGATGGATGGATGGATGAATGAATGAATGGAGTTGGGAGGAGAGTTCCGGGCTATAAATGTGGAACTATAAATGTGGCTGTCACCAAAACCTGGAAAATGTTTAAGACTGTGGGAGTGAATGTCCTAGGGACATTACCTAGGAAAGTGTGTAGAGAGAGAGAAGAAGGGACCCCTGCTAGCCACCCCATCTCCCCAAGCCGGGTATTGCTGATTTAGGAAGCAGGGTCCCTAACCCAGCCCAAACCTGAGCCCTACAATTCTGGTAGACACTTATGGGGTAACCCTAAAGGCAAATATGACAGAGGGCGGGGACTGGCCCCACAGCCCAATGGGAAAACAAGGAGAAGCTTCCAGAACCAACAGAGAAGGCCTCTGAACCCTCTGACCTGGACCCACAGGTCTCGTCTGGCTGCTTCTCCTCAGACTATGAGGCTCAACCGAGGTCGTCCAGGAGAGAGCAGGTCCGAGCCCTCGGGAGCCGTCGCTGGCCTCTGGGGCAACACGTGCTCTCTGGGCACAGGTGTGATTACACAGGCCCAGGTGGCTGAGCCGGCTCATGTGCCCCCTACTGTGTGGGTGCCAGTGTGCACAGAGGCCTGGAGCTGGGCATGAGGGTGGGTGCTCCCTGTGATAAGGCTGGAGGGGGAGGCGTGCTGGGTACAGGCTGTCGACCCAGGCCCAGAGTATCCCAGTCCCTGCGGACTAGATGCACCACCAATGCCGGCCTCCACCCTGCCGTACACCAGGGACTGGCCAGGAAGAGGCAGATGGGGAGTGTAGCAGGGCATTCCACCGAGAGTTAAGGACCTAGAGGAAAATCATGCTGGGAAAGACCTTAAAGAAGTCCTGTTCAGACCTGGGTTCTGGGCTTGCCTTCACCACTAACTACCTGGGCGGCCCCATGTGTCAGAACCTCTTCCAATTGGAAGAGATCTAACTCTACCTTCCACGATGAGCAGAAATTCTTCCCACAACCCCCTGGCACAGGGTCATCCAGCATCTCTCCAGACTTCCAGGGCTGGAAACTTCTCTACCCGCAGGGCAGTCCCTTCTTATTGGGCAGTTGTTTTTTTTGTTGTTTGTTTTTTTGAAGTCCAAATAGCCGCTTATTAGCTGGCCGGCGTCTGATTCCTAACACCCTTGTGACAGTCTTTGGAATCAGCCTATTGGGCAGTTTTGTTAGAAAGCATCTAAGCCACTGGAATGACTCAGTTGAGCATCATCCTATCTGGGCATGTGCCCGGGTTGTGGGTTCATTCCCGACTGTGCAAAAAGGCAACAGATCGATGTTTCTCTCTCTCTCTCCCTTCCTGTCTCTAAGCATGTCCTTGGGTGAGGATTAAACAAGAAAGTATCTTTTTCAATGGGCCTGGAAGGACCCAATACCAGATGTCAACAGTGTCACCTCCAGGGAGGAGAATGGGTTTGAGGGGGAGGGGTGTTGCCCTGTTAATTTGGTATGAGATGCTTTTGATACCATGTGTTAAATATTCAATGGCAAGTAAAACAAAAAATAAGGTTCTTTATTAGAACCCAGTCTGCCTTCCTAACATTCCCACCTACTGGGTTGAGGTCTGCTCTCAGGGACCAGAAAATAATCTAAACTCACTTCCCCTTGGATGTCCTTCAAGTACTTGAAAGTGGGGATCACGTTTCCACTGAGTCTTCTAACTTGGTTTCCAGACAGGTCCCCACTGGTCATCCCTTCTGAGCACAGACAGTAAAACTCAGAGGGCTGCAGAAGGAAGGAACCAATCGCTTCTTGAGTTGGGTATTACCTCCTGCTAATTAAGGAAGCCCGTGAAAACATCCTTCTTCCTTGTATGTGTGTGTGTGTGGGGGGGGGGGGTTTGGCGGGGGCACGATCAGATGGCTCTTTCCTCAAGCCTTAGTTTCTTATCTATAAAAGGGAAAACAACACCTTTGCTATGAGAATCAACTGATAGTAAGAACATAAAGACATTAAGCAGCACACATCCCTACCCTAGGGGCTATGTCTTAGGTTCTCCGTTCTGTTCAGACAATAGCTAAGTGTTGGGCCCAGAGAGCCAGACTCCTTGGGTTCAATCCCAGCTTTGCCACTTATCGGCTGTGTGACCTTGGAGAGGTGACTTGACGTTGCTGTGCTGGTTTCTCCTCTGTGAAACAAGGATGACGACCCCACCAATCTTGGAATGCATTTTTAGGAGCATTAGAGGTACTGCCTAGCACACAGTATCATCTGTTTGGTATCATGACCAAGTCTTACTCCTTCACCAGGTGTCACCGAAATGAGGCTAAGTCATAGCAGCTGTTGAAAAGCAAACCCATCGTGTTATTGAGGTGAGCTGTTCACACCTCCTCCCCATGTTTATAAGCAACGGTGGTGAGGTGGGCACTATGCTCAGGACTCTACATGTTCTGCCTCACTGAACTCGCCCAACAGCTTCAGGACGTCGAGAACATCGTCACCCCCATCTCACAGATGAGGACATAGAGGGTCACATAGCTTCAGTAATGTGCCCAAGGGCACACAAGTAAGGAGTGATGGAGCCAGGACTGGCACCTGACCAACGACTGAAGTCAGTCTCCATCACCAACTCTTTTTCTCGATCCTGTTCTTTTTACCATCTCCCTAGCTTGGGCTTCCCACCAGTTTCCGGGACCAAAGGAAGCCAAGCCTGGTCCCCCTCCTGGACAGAACTGCCTGCGGTTTCTAGAAGGCGGGAGGAGGGGCGCTCTCCTGCTTCTCACTGAACTTCTGCCCTCATGCACAGGGCCTCTCCCCTCCAGGGTCACCAGAATCCCAGCTGCATCCTTGGGTCCTCAGGACCACCCTGGCAGCTGGTACCTGGGACTGCTTGTTGGGTTCTCTGCCCTGATCATAAAATGGTTCCACATGATCAAAAAAGAGAGGAAAAACCCAGACATTCTGGACATGGGCTCTGAAGCGTAACATCGTTACGGAGCCAGCGGTACATCCCACCCATTATCACTGGCCAAGCTTCTGGAGGCCAGCCGGCTGCAAATTGCTTTCTCCTGTCTGGGGTTGGTGGGGGTTAAAGCCCCGTCTCAACCTCCACTGCCGGAGGAGAGATTTTATCTTTAATTGACAACTGGCGGCCTGCCATTGCCTTGCCTCTGTGGGCCCAGGCTCCCAGCCCAATCTTCCCTCCCGCTTTAGGAACAGGCTTCCCCTCACATCTTCCCTCCCCTCAGCCCTGGCGTGCTCATCCTCTGCTCCCAGTGTGCTCTTGTCCTCGCTTGGTGTGGCTGGACCTGGAGGTGGCAGAAATCTGGGAGAAAAACCCGAGAGCTACAGGAAAGGGGTGGGGCAGGAACTGATATCATGGTGCATCTACTGTGTCATATATAAACAAAGGACACTGGGCCAGGTCTTTCCACCCGCCGTCTCTGAAGTAGAGGCTACCATCATCCCCATTCTACAGACAGGGAAACTGAGGTTCAGTGAGTTGTCCCAAGAGACCCCCTAGTAGTGGCAGGTCCAAACACGAAACCGAGGCCCTCATGGCTCGTATGCCCGGAGCGGAAGTAAGAAGACAGACAAGAGGAAGAACAAACACGCACCCAGCCCTGGTGGTGTAATTCACAGGGCCCAGGGCCGAGTGAAAAGCCAGGGTCCCTTCTTCAATAATTATTAGTCATTTCAAGATGGCGACAGCTGAGATCAACTCAAGGGTGGGGCCCTTTGAGCAACTGCCCAGGTCACACACCCATGAAGCCAGCCCTGTGTGTGCCCCTATGTGAGTGTGACAATGAGGGACCATGTCTGTCACTTCCCACCCCCCACCCCCTCTGGGCCCTGGAGGCGTTCACTCCCAGCCCTAAGAGGTCCCCGCTGTGCCACCAGTCCCGCCAGCCTCGGTTCCAGCCTCAGTCCGCCAGCCATCCGGGCATCGAAAGACTGGCGTCCCCAGGGCCCTGCCACACAGAAGTGGTGCGACTTCAGGAGGGGAGGCCCCCGCACGAACAAGCAGGAATCCACTGGACTTGCCGAAACACACCGGCCTTTTCTTTGGTGATGGCAGGAGGCCACAGGCGGCAGCGGGGCTCAGAACACTGCCTGGGGCGCCGGGGTCCCAGCCTAGCGTGTGACCTGGGCAGATCACGTTCCCTCCGAGCGGCAGTGTCTAGCTCCCATGGATGCTTCCTGGTGGGGTGGGGTTATGATAGGGGAGTGCCGTCTTCTCAGGCGTTGGGATGGAAGCCCAGGGAGGTCCCCACAGACACAGAGCCCGAAAGGAGAGGCGGAGGCAGTCAGTCACACAGCAGGAGCAGCTGGACGCTCCAGATGTCTTTATTGGGGGTCAAGCACAGCATGAGTCAAAGGCATGCAGACAGGGTGACAGCGCCCTGGCCTAGGCTTGCCTCAGACACACAAGAGGGGACAGCTTTAGAAAAGAACTGACCAACACCAGGGAGGGGCAGGGCGGGTGGGAGTGGCGAGGGAGGGCAGAGGCCAAGGTTGAAGGGGTCGCCTGGCCTCTGCTATTGCACGCGTCCCCTGGCCACCGGCCAGGAAGTACAGTATTGCAACTGGTCTCCACTCGCCCGATGCCTCCCCTTCTCAGACCCCTGAGCCCAGTGGGCAGACAGACCCCTTCCCTGCCCATCTGCCCAGCAGCATCTTTAAAAACAAATGGACGAGGGAGACAGAAAAACCAAAAATTAATAAGAAACAAAATTCTCCCCAGTCAAGGACAGAGGTAAGGTGGAAAAGGGGGGTTGGAAGAAGCTGTAGAGAAACCCCTGGAAGTCCCCCCACAACTGGGGCGTGGGGTGGGAGGTAGAACCCCAATCTGGAGTGGGGAGGGGCTAGTGGAGCAGTGACCCTGGGGGCAATCTGGCCTTCGACAGGCCACCAGCCCACAGGGGAAACACCCCCAACAGGGGGAGTCTAGCCTGGGACCACCCAGCTAGCCTGGCAGTTCCCAGGTACACTTTTCCTAGGACATTCCACACGCGGCACGTACAACAGAAACAAGGAATCAGTAAAGGGAGGGGAATGGGGGCCGGGGGAAGGGTAAGGGCTTGGGGAGACAGCCTAACGAAGACAGACCACCAATAGCACGTGCACTACACACAAGAGTACAGTATGTATGGATATAGACACATGTGCATACAGATCTCCTCAATGTACAACAGAACAAAACGTCAGACCCAGGCAGCTCCGGCCGAGGGCCACGTGGGAGGTTTTCAATCAGTCCTGTGCAAACAGGGATATCTGAGTCTTTCCCAGCAAAAGATTCTTGCCTGGGTTCCAGAGTTCCCCTAAGCCTCTGGCTTTCTGTCTGTCTGCCTGTCTCTGTCACGTTGGTGCCGCTTTAAGACAGGGTGAGGACTTCAGCTTGGGCATAGTTGGATGACAGGGCGTCTTGGCAGGTCTCTGTGTTTAAAGAGCACAGGTGTGAGATACTGGGAGGCACACTTTCGGCTCAACATTGCCTTCAGGGGATGGAGGGCAAGGAGTTCAGCAAAAAAAAGGGAGACACAAAGAATGAGATGTTAGAAGGCAGGCAGCTGCCGACCCACAGGCTGTGGGCTAGAGAGCAGGCCAGGAGCAGGGCTGGACAGCATGGGGACCCAGGGCTAAGGCAGAAGAGAAGGGATGGGTCAGAGTATGGGGTGAGCCCCTTCATCAGCCCTCTGCTGACCCAGCTCTGGGCCAAGGTGACTCCCAGGTGATGCTACAGCTCATCTCCACACCTGCTCAGGTGATGAGCTCCAGGAACCACTAGCCCTGGAGAGAGGGACCCCAGTCCTGCAGCCTGGCATGAAGCAGTGGGACAAGTTCCTGCCGGTCCTGTAACCCATGAGCCATCTCCTGGGCTGCTGCCTGCCCAACCTGGGCTCCCCCACGGCTCCATCTGCCACCACCACCTGGGGCCCTTCCACTGTTCCAGGGGGCTGAGTGCGCTGCCACGGACGCCCAGCCCCCTTCCTCAATCTGGCAGGGAGAGTCCCAGCGGCAGAGGGTGACAGGGAGGGTCGCAGAGCAGGAACGTGCCCACCTCAGGAGAGTCGGCCAGAAAGCAGCATCTTGTTGAGAAAACCACTCCCCTGGGAAGCCCTGGGGGCTGAGAAGGGGCCTCCGGGCTGCCCGTAGCTTTGGTACAAACTGGAAGGTAAGGTTAACAACCCCTACCAGTTGGCTCCCCTGCTCTGTGGGGACAGGCTGGGCCCCAGCGATAGAGAAAAGGCTTCTAGAAACCAAGTAATGGGTACAGGTCCAAGTCAAGAGCCAAGGGGAAGTGAACGGGGCTCTCAGGTTGTGGGGGAAGGGAGAGCATTCCCTGGAGGGTGGGCCAAGGCCTGAGCCCGCCAGAGGCCAGCAGGCAGCTGCCTCCCCAGGCAGAGCCCGGGTCTCCGTAAACTCCAGAACGTGCTTTGCCCTTCCCCGGGACCCCAGGACCCCAGGAAGGCCGAGGTCCTGAGAGGCAGAGGCAGGCAGCTCTCCCTCAGCTGGCTGCTGGGTCCCCCTACAGAGGCCAGGGGGCCAGGAGGGACATGCAGGAGCCCCTCTCCCAAGGCACTAGGGCTCCAGCCTGGCACTCCTGCACCATGTGGCCCAGGGACATCTGTGCCCACACAGGGGTGCCGTGAGCATGCCCGTCGATGTGGGAGGAAAGGAGGCGGTGGGTGCCGTGGAAACTTGGGCTCCTGACAACTTGAGGGCTGCCACAGAAATAGCCGCCTCAGTTCCCTGAACCAGAAACACAAGTCAGAGGAGAAAATAGCTGTGGCGCCCGTGCTAAACTGGACACCTAGCTCATGGCGTCCCCGTCGGAGCCAGGACCCAGGTGCCAGGAAGCCCTGCAGGGCAGGACTGAACTGTCCTCACGAAGGGGCAGCTGGGCCCTCGCGCTCAGCTGAGGGGAGAAGGCACCTGGCGTCTCCATCCTGATCTTGGGCTTTCCTGTCCCTGTCCGGGACCTGCTCCTTCTCAAGGGTGGTCGCATGAGTACCCCTATATCTTCTCAACTCTTAAGGGCACACTTCATTCTGAGAAAGTGGGAGCCAGTCCCCAGAGACCACAGCAGGGCTGGGCTATCCCTGCTCCCACCCGGAATACATCTTTCTGGAAGGCACATTCTGTGTCTGTCCAAGGCTGAGGAGACTGATGGGATGCTCACGCTCTCCATGAGATGTTCTGACCTTTCTTCCCAGTTCGCCCAGTGTCTTCCCGAATCTGCCCTGCCAGACCTATCTTTGCCCACCCTGGAAGAAGCAGATACAGCCCTTACTTAGTCATCCCCTCAACAAAGTTGCATAATCCGACTCTAAAAATTGCCAGGCACACAGCTACACTGTCAGGTCTCATTCCCATCAGGTGGCACAGGAAACGCCTGGGCTGTGGTGCCCTCGGCCCTGCTGCGGAGGGCCTGCCTGAGGAGCCCTCTGTGCGCTGCTGGGGGAGGGGAGCCTGCGGTCAGTCCTCCTGGGGATGGCAGGGTGCCCGTGCTGGAGTGGGGGGCAGACTGGCTGTCCCCACACTACCCCTCGCTGCCCCTCCCCAAGGTGAAGCCCTGCTCACACAATGACTCAGAAACCTGTTGTGCTCCTGGGCTCGTTAGGAAAATGAACACACTTAATTATAGAAATTAGATGAGTCTCCAGTTCTGGCAGCGATGCAGAGCAGAGGCTGGGCTGCGAGTGCGGGGCAGCGGGCAGGGAAGGAAAGGCTGTCGTGGGAGCAGAGGAAGCAGCAGCCTGGTGACAGGTGCCGAGGCTCGGGGTGCAGATGGGAGCCTGGGCTCCGTGCTGGGTGTCACCTGGAGGAGGGCCTCCCCATGCCCACGTGACCAATCCCGGGGCTCTGACTCTAGGGTCCCCACCTGCGCCCCAGCCCAGAGCTGGAGAACATCAGGCCTCTTCTCCTAGGGTGGCAGCGCTCCCCGCAGGAGACAAGCCCCCTGGGCACCAGCAGAGATGCCCCTCGGGACAGTCTTATTCCTTGCTGGGCTGGGTGTGGGATGAAGACAGAGACATTGGTTGCAGGCTGTTTGGTTACGGTTGAAGGCCACAAGGAATGGAAATGTATTTGCTGTGATCAAGGTGGGACTCTCTGGGGGAGGCAGGGCACAGACTCAGGTCCTGGGGGTGCTAGCCTCTCCAGCTCAGGATGGGGGGCCCCAAACCTGAGCATTTGGGGGAGCTGGGTGCTGTGGAGGGGAGGCTCAGGGGCTTGAATGTCCCTGTATCCCATCGAGCTCGCTCAGGCCCCAGGAGTGGGGACTAGTGGGCATGAGCGTGCCTGCCTCTGTGTGCAGCTAAGGGGCCGAGTGTCCAGGAGGTGGACTGGTGAGGGCGGGTGTGGGGAGGGAGAGCAGCTCTCTTGGAGGGTAGGGCAAGCTGTACTGGGATGCCAGTGGAGACAGCCGACTGGTTCCAGCTGCTCCGGCTGTGCTGTTTAGACTCCCGGACTTTTCACAGCCTTGGTGAGAAAAGGCACAGGGGTCAGCGGGCATACTTCTCCCCTGAGTGGCTCCATGGCATCTGGGCTCCAGCAGGCAGCCCAGGCTGGGCGGAGGGGCTGGCCCACCTGGGAAAAGCTCCCTGACTTTCCCTGGTCTCTGGGTCACCTGGGCTCCTGAGGACAGAGTCCAGGGCCACATATCCAGCTGACCTTTGCCCTGCCGTTGTTCCCAGCTAAGTTCCCCTCCAGATGCACGAAGATCCCAGCACCCTCCTTTCTCAACCCTAAGAAGCCCTCCTTAGCACCTGCCACCTTCTTCCCAGGGAGTTCTCACTCTGACGCATGGGCAGCGACAAGCTAACGACGGGGTCTGTGCCAGCAGCTGGAGGAGACCTGGGCCCACTCACTCCTGGTCCTAAATGGAGCCCGGGTGCAGAGCAGTGAGCGCAGCGGGTCTGGCACAGGGAAAAGTTGCCGAGAGCGCACTACACGGCTGGTTTCCCGGCAACCCACCTGTTCCCTCTCGAAGGTCATTCTAATTGGCTGAGTTACATGCTTGTTGCCAAGAAGCAGTGTGGAGGCATCTTGAAAATAGAGCAGCCGGTCCTCACAAGCACCCAGAGATATAGTGGCGGGTACGGTCCCATGCAGGCACATGTGTGACTCCTTCCCAGGGCCGCGGCGCCCCACACCTCACAGCCCCTCCCGATGTGCACCCTCACAGCCTCTTCCACTCCATTACCTCCAGTGAGCCCCTCAAACACCGGAATGAAAGCAAGGGTACTCCAGTCCTACTTGAGGTTGGGGTCCACCCTCTTTATATTCTGGGCTGGCCACTTAGTGAGCTCCAGCCGGAGTAGGGTCTGGGCCTGACCGGAACACAGTGGAAGCCACTGCATGTTTGGGGTAGGGAGCAGCAGAGCCACTTCCAGAGCCAAAGGATGGGGTGCACGCAGAGGCCAGGGGTTACCAGAGGGACACAGGAGAGGGGGCAGCGGTCTGTGCACAGCCACCTGCAGCCCTTTAGCTGGGGCCTCTGGGCCATCTCCTTCCAGCTGCCGGACCGAAGCTCCTGGTTCTGACACCTAGCAGGACTTATGCCGACACACACCTCTCAGGGCCTGGTCGGGGTGAAGGCGCATGGGGATCTGTGGGAACAGTGGCGCTAGGGCTGGGAATGGGGCCCGGAAGGTGGCTCTGGAGGCCACAGAGGCTGGACAGGCCAGGGGACATCCTTGGGGGGATTGAGGCATCACAGGCTCTTCCTGCAGCAGGCACTGTCCCTGCCTCATTCAACCCAGACTTGTTCTGGAGTTTGGGGACAGTGGGAGGGATCGGGCTGAAGGAGGGCTGGTTAACAAGCGGCCCAAGCCCGGCTGGTGTGGTTCAGTGGACTGAGAATCGTCCCATGCACGAAGAGGTCACAGGTTTGATTCCCGGTTAGGGCACATGCCCGGGTTGCAGATTTGATCCCCAGTAGGGTGTGTGTAGGAGGCAGCTGATCAGTATTTCTCTCTCATTGATGTTTCTCTCTCTTTCCCTCTAAAAAAAACCCCAAAACATATTAAAACAAACAAAAAACAACCAAGAAGTGGCCTAAGAACCAGGGGAAGGCTTTGTTTGGGGAAAGTCAGGGTTGATTCTGAAACTAGGCAGGGTGTTTAGGGAGATCAGATCACAGGACAGGGCAAAAAAGACCCCCCAAAAAGTGATCAGGGACTGAGCAGAAGGAGCATCTGGTCCTGAGATCTCGGTCCTCAGCCACTACTGGCCCTCAGCCACCCTTAGTCATTTCTGCCCCCTTGCAGGCCAGGGACCCTGGCTCCACAGCGCACTTCTGCCAGGGCCTGTGCAGGCTTGGGGTCTGCTGATGGCATCGCAGCCTTCTGTGGCAGGAGGCCATGGGCTGCCTCTCTGCACTCTCCAAATCCTTCAGAACATACTTCAGAGGGGGCCCACTCTCCCTGTACACCCCTCCCTTGTCACCCTCTGTGTTTACTCAAGTCACATTCCAGGGACTGGCAGAACTGGGTCAGCCCCTCCCGGGCTCCAGGCCACCCCCCACCCCTGTGCAGGATGGAGGAGGTGGGCCTATGCCAGGGGACCTCACGCCAGCACCCTATTCTTACCCTGACTCCTGAGCTACTTACTTGAGGAAGCCTCAGCTGTGTTTAAGGGAGGCCAAGGGAAAGGCAGGCGGTAACCCTGGGAAGCCAGGACTGAAGGTCACAGCAGAACCCAGAGGAAGAGGAGGAGACAAAACGGAGGGGAGTGGCAGGGACCCCGGTCCCATGTCCCCTCACAGTCAGCTCTAGTCTTCCCTGTGGCCACCTGGGAAACGGGCTGTGTGTTCCTGCTGGGATGCTGCAGGCCTTCCCAAGGACAAATGGGACTGGGAGATCAAGGTACCCATCGTAAAAGTGGGGGTGCATCCAAGGCAGAAGAGATAATGGCCACGGCCTCAAGCTTTGTGGGGGACACTGAGGAGACCCAGCTCCACGGGGGCTCTCCACCTGCCCAGCCTGGGGAGCCATACCTTTCCGGACACTGCCATCGGCACAGGCATAGTCCCCAGCACTGAGCAGGAAACAGGCGGCGGCCCTCTTGTTTCTGTCTCGAGTGCCGGAACGTCGCAAGGCCCGGCGCTCCTCTGAGGTGGGGGCAGAGGCCAGGGGCTGGGTGAGGCCAGCGGCCTCCTCATCAGACAGCATTGCATTGGCATCTCCATTCTGCTTGGAATCTGAGGGTCAGACAGAGAGGACGTGTATGAGGGCTGCTTGGGCCTTCCTCACCGGGTCACTTGGGGTCGCCCAGATCCCAGACCTAGCATGTCACTTCTCCAACCTGAGGAAGGGACCCAGGGAGTGGGCCACAGATGCCCTAAGCAAGGACTCCCCAAGGCCGCTGCTCCACGAGACCGGGCCCGGCAGGAGGCAGACTGCTTCCTCCTTGGGTCTGGCTCAGGCTGCCGGTCGATGAGTTTGTATTCCGTCAGAGACTGCCTGGTTTGCTGGCGCGACAGTGGCACCGCCAGGGCTATACCGACAGTGGCTTTCACAGCTATCTGCCTGGGCCACCTGAAGGCAGTTACTCTTGTTCCCAGGGCATCCACGCTGGAGTCGAGTGTCTGAAGGATTCAGACCTCTCTGCACTTGGGGCTCACCTGCGTCTGGGGGACCACGGTGGGGGGAGAGGCTCCAATTCAGCTCCCACTGCTGTGGGCTCTCGACCCCAGGCTCCTGCTCCGTTAGGCAGCTGCCCAGGTGAAGCTGGGCCCTTGGATCCGGAGAAAGGGGACTGTTCGGTCTGAAGGCAGTGGCCCCGGCACTGGTCTGTAATGCCCTTACCGAGGGTCATGGCCGATGGCCACAGGTTACTGTGCGCTGAGCAGCTGGCCTGTGGACTTATACCCTGTAATGTTAGTTTTCCCTCTGAGCCCTGAATGGGCTTTGGGGCAGAGCTGCAATTCCCTGGGGGTGCTTGCTGGAGATTTACATTCAGGAACAGGGGAAGGGGGTACCACTTTGGTAGGAGAGAAGAGGGGAGCCTGATGGGTGCTCTTCTATCAAGGTCTATGGAAAACCCAGACCCCTGAATGGCCCCTGGCAATGAGTGGCCTCAGCATGTATAATGGGCACCAACCAACAGGCCAAAGGTGAGTGCCCCAAGGCAGACACCTGTCCTGGAGGACAAGTCCCACTTTGCCCACAGAGCTCAATGTCCTGGCCTATCCCCAGCTCCGCGATGGCCTAGCACCCAACGGTCCCCCATAATATGAATCCCAACTTCCCTCAGGAGCCCATCCCATCCCCAACAGTTAGGTTCCTATTCTCTGACCCAACTCCACATTGCCAAGGAGTAAGCCAATCTCCTTTCCCGTCTCCAGACTCAGGTGGAAGCAAGCTTTTCTGGCTGGCTTTTCCCATCCTTGAAGAATGGGGTTCAGATCCTCAGGCCCTCCCCTTCCAGGATGCAGACACCAGTACTATCTGAGCTGCTGCCTCTGGGTTCCCGTCTGTCCATCCCATGTTACACCCCAAGCCCAGGACTCGATCTAGCTTGTGCTGAACTGAAGGCAGCCTCCTGCTGCTGCCATGTTATTACACTGATTCGGCCAAGAGACAGCAGACTCAAACGTTTGGAGAGAAATGATTCATGAGTACATACACCTTGGAAGAACAGCTGCCCCGCTCTCCAGCTAATAACGACAGTGCCTGATGTTTGCAGAGCGGTTTTAATGTCTCAGAGGACGTTCATATCTGTCATTTGTTTGGGGCCCATCAAATTTCTGGGGATAAGATAGTAACATCATTCCTGTTTTACAGGTGAGAAATCCGTGCCCACAGAGGGTGAGTGACTGGTCTCAGGGCACAATGAAGCGTAGTTAAGATGAGATTAGAAACCTGGGCTTCTAATTTACACACCCATGTATGGTCTCCTGCAGCTTAAGTTCAGTGGGATACTCACTCCACAGACCATGATGTTCAGGAAGCTATCAGAACCAAAGGATAGGAAAATCGGGCCTCGGCACTTTGCCCTCATTAAGGCATTACACTTAGGCAAGCCCAGAGCAGTAAAGCAGATTTTCAGATTCCCAGGGCTGAGGAACACCTGGGGACTCCCCTGGCCACTGCAGAGGAGGTGGCCTTCCTTCCCAAACTCCAATCTCACCTGCCCGTTTCCTCTCGACCATACCCTCTTCTTGGCCAGCAGGGCTGGTGTCACTGTAGGTGCTGTCCCGGGGCGAGGTCTCCTCGGACTTGCAGTAAATGGGTGACTCGAGCTGGGGCGGTCGTGGTACATGCTTCTTTCGTTTCTTGGGCAGCTTCTGCTTGGCCATGGCTAGGGAGTAGTACATGCCGAAGTTGTTGACAATGACCGGCACCGGCATGGCAATGGTGAGCACCCCGGCCAGTGCACACAGCGCCCCCACCAGCATGCCTGACCACGTCTTGGGGCACATGTCCCCGTAGCCCAGCGTCGTCATGGTGACCACGGCCCACCAGAAGCCGATGGGGATGTTCTTGAAGTCGGTGTGGTCATTGCCCCGTGGGTCGGAGGGCCGGGCGCCAATGCGCTCGGCGTAGTAGATCATGGTGGCGAAGATGAGCACGCCTAGGGCCAGGAAGATGATGAGCAGCAGGAACTCGTTGGTGCTGGCACGCAGGGTGTGGCCCAGCACGCGCAGCCCCACGAAGTGGCGCGTGAGCTTGAAGATGCGCAGGATACGCACGAAACGCACCACCCGCAGGAAGCCCAGCACGTCACGGGCCGCCTTGGACGACAGGCCACTCAGCCCGACCTCCAGGTAAAAGGGCAAGATGGCCACGAAGTCGATGATGTTTAGCAGGTTCTTGACGAAGTCCAGCGTGTCTGGGCAGCACACGATGCGCACCAGGAACTCCAGTGTGAACCATAGCACGCACACGCCCTCGATGTATGTCAGGATAGGCTCTGTCTCCACCTCCCGCCGAAAGTGCACACTGGTGGTGTTCCCCACACGGTGGATCTCAGTCACGTTGCGGTCAATGTTGAAGGCCTCATGGGTCTCCAGGCAGAAGGTGGTGATGGAGACCAGGATGAAGAAAAGAGAGGCAAAGGCCACCACCTGTGGGTGGGGTGGAGAGTGGGGGCAACTGTCAGACAGGGAAGGGTGGGCCCAGCAATGACAGGGACCTCTGCTTGTAGAGGGTGGGGACATGGGTCACCAGGCAGTCCTTTAGCTAGATGGTGAGAGGGGGGGTTCAAGTATAGTCAGGAGCTAGAATTCCCTCCTCATAGGGTCTTCACCCATCTGCTTGGGTGCTTTAAGACAGTACTTCCCAATCTTTGTCACAGTGCCTAGAAGTTTAAGGTTGTTCTTGGCTGGAAGCAACTGCCTAGCTCCGCCCATCTCTAACCCAGTTGTGCTTTAGGGCTTCTCAAACTGGCATGGGTGTGTAAATCACCGGGGAATGTGTTAAAATGCCATTCCGACTGTGGTGGTCAGGGCAGGACCTGCAAGTCTGCATCTCTAACAAGCTCCGAGGGCTTGCTGCCTGTCCACAGGCTGCTTGGAGCAACTAGGCTTTAAGCCAGGGTTCCTCCAAGTGGGGCCCCGGACTGGCAGCATGGCATCACCTGGGAACTAGTTAGAAATGCAAATTCTCAGGCCCCACCCAAAGCTACTGAATGAGAAATGCTGAGTGGACGGCCCAGTAATCTGTTTTAACACATCTTCCAGATAATTCTGAGGCACACTAAATGTTGAGGTCTACTACATATGGGATATGCCCTGAGGCAGGGGGCTAAAGGGAATGACTCTGGGCCTCTTTCCTATTTATTTATTTTTCTTTATTGATTTTAGAGAGAGAGAAGGGAGAGAGGGAGAGAGGGAGAGAAACATGGATGAGAGAGAACATCGATTGGCTGCCTCCTGCATGCCCCTCACTGGGGATTGGGCCCACAACCTAGGCATGTGCCCTGCCCAGAAATCAAACTGGCGACCTCTTGGTGCACGGGTCGGTGCTAAACCACTGAACCACACTGGCCAGGTGACCCTGGGCCTCTTTCCATCAGCTGAGCCTATTAAGCTCCGGCCATGACCCACATCCAGGAGCCCCAAGTCCAAGCCCCTCTTTCTTGCCTCTCACCTTAGGATATCCCAGCCCACTGCCCCGATGGTGAGAGGTGCCTGAAGGAAGACAACATACTCCACAGCAGGAAACAGGGTGGTGTGCCCAGAATATCCACCCCTCCCCCTCCCCAGAACTGCTATTTCCTGGACCCTGAGCTCCAAAGAAAAATAAACTGCACCAGTAGGATCAGAGCCCAGCAGCGGCTGGTCCCGACAGCTGCTGGTATCTCGGCTAGAGTGATGACAGTGGCACTCGGCAGGAACGGCTGGATTTAAGTGTCCAATCATTATGAATGGAGATGAAATGCATGTGTAATAACACCAATTATGGAGCCTTTATCTGTTATTCATGTGATGCCATTCACCACTGTCAGGGTACCCGTTGCTGGGGTTTAGGGCCCATGATGCTGCCTGTTCTGCTTCGTGGATGGGGGTGGGCTTCTTCCCTGAGCACAGGGTTGAGAGAGAAGCATGGCCACTTGGCAACCCTTATGTCTGCACCCATGCCTCATTTCTATCTGCCCTATCTAATGATGACTCTGAGATCTGCTCTCCTCCCTGGGAGTCTGCACCAGGATGGGGGTGGGAGGTGGGGCAACATCCTTGCTCTTACTGCCATAAAACACCAGTGGAAACACAAAGGGACCCGGGAAAATGAAGCAAGCAGCAGCATTTCCATGGTTTCTGGAGCAGGAGCAAGTCTGAGGAGGGAACTTTGAGAATGAACACGCATCAGCTCTCTATTCTGTGCCCGGCACAGTGAGACACTCTGTGTGCTATCACCTCCAGTCCTCCGAGCAGTGACCCTGTGATGCAGGCCTCATCATCCATTTTACGAGGCAGAAACTGAGGATCAGAGAGGTCATATACTTGCCTAACATCACAGTCTGGAAGGGGTAGAAACAACCTGAACTCAGCACTGCTTAACTTCAGAGTCTATCCCTTCTCTTCATATCAGTCTGCACCACCTCCTGGCCAGGGTCAATTCACAGGTCTGGGGAAGTCTTCTCTGAATTGTCAATACTGCTCCCTGATGACTATGTCACCCTGAGGGATGTGGACCTATGGCTTAGGACAGACACCTATCACACACTAAGACTTATCTTATTTACTTATTTATTGATTGATTTTAGAGAGGGAGGAGAGACAGAGAGATAATCATTGGTGTGAGAGAGATGCATTGATTGGTTGCCTCTCGTATGCACCCTGACTGGGAAGCAAACTCATGATCTTTGGGTGCATGGGACAATGTTCCAACCAACTAAGCCACACCAGCCAGGGCAAGACATCTTATTTACACTCGAACACGGATAGGCTGGTCAGGTAGCGCATGGAAGGAAAAGGCTGGTAGCAGACCAAGGACACTTCCCCACTTGACAACTTTGCTGGAGTTTCTCCTGCCTCCTTTTCCCCCATGAAGGTCAATTGCAAGTTCCTTTCCTGGCCTTATTGTTCTCCCCCTGAGAAATGCGCTGTCAAGAAAATACAAGCTGGTGTGGGCATTGCATTAGGCAGATTGCTCCAACCTATGAGTTCTACATGGCCATCCAGAGATGAGCTGTCTAGTGGCCACGGTGATGCTGGGAACCTGCAGTCTTGGTGCTGCCCCTCCCAGCTCTGCCAGGGAGCATGGGAAGGAGGAGCTTGCTCTCTCTGAGGTAAAGTTAGCCAGGAGAATTGGCCCACCTGGGAGCTGAGTGTGAAGGTAATGAGTGATTTGGAAAAACAAGTTCAGGAAGAGCTGCCAAGGGGTGGAGCAGAGGGTACAGAAGGGGAAGGGAGGGAGGAACCTGTGGCCTGGGCTACTCTTACCCTGCAGGGCCAAGGAGCCTGCTGGTGCCTCCCTCCCCTGCTGCCCCAGGGTCCTTCTGCAGGTGAATGCAAAGCACCCCTCCTGCGTCAGGAAACAGCCCCTGAGTTCCTACAGTGTGCACTCACTTTAGCTTTTTCTTTTTAACAGAACTATACCATCTAGACACTTCTACCCCTCACCTCCACCTCTCAGAAGATGAGGGCAGGTAAAGAGGAGCCGCATGTGACCATTTCTCAAGGGCAACAGAGGCACAAGAGGGCAAAAGAGTCACTCAGGATCAAACCGAGGCCAGGTCTCCCGCCTCTTAGCTCGGAGCTCTGTTCAGCCGGCCCTCCAACCAAACGAGTGGGGACAATCCGCTCCTCCGGGGTGAAACCTGGTGGGGCCTCAGTCTCCCCCTGGGCTTCTCCAGGGCTGGCAGCAGATGCCAGGCAGGCCCCAGGAAGCCCTCACTCCCCGAGGAGTCAGGCACACCTGAGTCTGAGCTGTGGCAGAGGACTCTGGCACGCTGCCCCAGGTGGGTCCCCCTTCAGGGCCCAAATTACTCCTTCTCCCTTAAGTCACTGTCCAGTCAGAACTGCTTTGTGCCCTGGCCAGTTTGGCTCAGCGGTTAGAGCGTCGGCCTGCGGTCCTGAGAGACCCGGGTTCGGTTCCCGCTAAGGGCACGTACTTCGGTTGCAGTTTGTCCCTGGCCCCGGTTGGTCGTGCGGGTGGCAGCCACTCGATGTGTCCCTTCACGTCGATGTTTCTCTCTCTCTCTCCCTTCCTCTCTCTCCCTCCCACTCTATCTGTACAAAAAATGGAAAAATGTCCTCGGGTGAGGATAAAAAAAAAAAAGAACTGCTTTGTAAGTGATGGCTGTGCTGCAGTAGGGGCCCTCCCAGGCCGCTCCCTCTGGTGGCAAGCACAGTGCTTTCTTTCTCCTCTCTTGATTGGGGGCTTCCTGGGACATAAAAGGCCCGGGGGGATGCAGCATCACCCTTGTTAGAGGTCAAGGCCCCAAGCCTCCTGTTCAGCCCCCACCAGGCCATCCCACACAGCTGGCAGTGTGCACTAAGGCTTCCTTCCCATCGGTCCCTACTAAAGGCGACTGTGGGCCTCAGGGAAGCCAAGATGGAGGGCGAAGGACAGCTATGGAGCCCCGGCGTCACACTGCCCGGGTTCCTCATCCTGGCCCGCCGCTCCACCAGCTAAAGGGTGTCCTTTGTGCCTGTTTTCTCTCTACAAGGTGGGTCAATACTAGTACCCACCTAGTACATTACTGTGGGATTAAATGAGCTTCTATGTGGCAATTGCCTGGTGCACAGTAAATGCTCAATTCATAGTGACTGAGCTGAGGAGTGCGGGCCTCCATGACCCTGTGTGCAGCTTCTGAAGGCAAGCTGGATCTGAAATCAAAAACATCACAAAATCCTTGCCTTTTAGAAGTGAGAGAGATTCAAAAGGTCACCCCGTTCAAATCCCTTCCTGCTGCTTTACAGGTGAAGAGATGAGGGCCTGGGGAGAAGTGACTTGCCCTGGTTTCCGTGGCCGAAGCTGTCAGTTCCTCCCACTGCCTGAGCACGCAGGGCACAATTCTGCTGGAAGCCAGACCTGCCCAAGCGGAAAACTGCTCTGTGAACTGGCTGAACGGGTGTTGACTCCTCTCCTCTGGCTGGGAGGGTGCAGGAGGGTCTCCCCACCCGGGACAGGAGGTGCCTTGGCGCTGGGCAGGAGACTACTGCTCCTCCAAGCTTCCTGCTCCTTTTGGGCCCCTCACGCTGACTGGCTAGGGACCCACCTGTCCCCAGACACCCGGGAATTTCAGCTAGTGGGCCAGCCCTGTGACCAGCCTCTTCCACCAAGCTCATCCTAGGATGGTCCTTGATGGAAATATAAAATCACACACTTCTAGGTACAAGTTGGGCTTACTTTCTGGGAGACCCTGGGCAAGTTTCTTAACCTCTCTGATCTTTGTTCATAAAAGGGAAAGTTGAACACCTACTTAGTGCCAGACACAGTTTGGGGGCTAAGGAATGACAGGAAACAAAACAAGACATCCCTGTCCCTTAGACCTTACATTCTAGTTGAGGGAGACTGTCAACAAATAAAAAAATAAAATACATGGTATGTCAGATGGTATAAGCATTAGACAGAAAAATAAAGATAAAGGTGGTAAGGAGTGTGAAGGTGGGGAGCT